TGTGTGTGTGTGTGTGTGCAGGAGCAGTGGGTGTGGGGCTGCAGTGAGGACGAGGCCCGTCACAGAGCTGCTGTCAAATATGGATTGAAGCCAGACGCCGTCACATTGACTCGGGGTGACTCGCCTCCCTCCTGACCTTTGACCTGCTGCTGTATCTGCACATTGTTACCTTATTGTGTGAATGCCGTTCACACGATTGTGTTCCTGTTTCTCTTTAAACTTTATTATTATTCTAGTCTAGTTCTAGTCCCTCAGTTTTCAGCCGATTTCACCGTTCAAGCTTTAAATTGTTCTTTCTGCTGAAGCGCGCTCTATCTTTTGGTGCTCGTAACTTTATACTTTTTGAGATATTAAGCTTTTTATTCCCTTTTTTTGGCCCATTTTGCTGGATGGGACCACATCACCAGTGTGATCACCAGTTCGGTTTGCCGGGCTGAGCCGTGTTTTAGCTCAGTGAGAGGAGCAGCTGTTCTCAGAGCGGGAGGCCCGGGTTCAAATCCAGCTTATGACATAAAAAGTTTCAGTTCAACTTTAACTCTTTTCAACACCAATTTCAGCTTCTCACCTCTCTTCAGCAGACAGTCCTCCTGCTGTGTTCAGATCCCACTACATGGCGTTCACGCTGCATTTGTGCAGGAAACCTTTTCTAGTTATTTGTTGCTGTTGTTTTTTCTGTAAACCACTAACATGACCGTGCTACAGCTAGATGACGAGGATTCGCTGATCTAATGAGACACGGGTCTGAACATGTTCGTGATTATCACACACTGCTGTGTTGTTGCCTCCTCGATTGTTTGGCAGTTTTGTAGGTTTTTGGTGCAGGTCTGTGACACGTTTCAGGTCGTCAGACAGGTTTATGTCCGGCTGAGATAAGCTGGTGGCAGCAGGCGTTTGGAGCCTGAAACCTGCTGCCAGCCTCGCTGTAAGAACTTCAGTGTTGTGTTGAGTCTTTCACACTGAGCCAGTCTTCTTTGTAGACAGTCGGCTTCATCGAGGGTGTTTTTGTGAGGCGACCCTTCCTGTTCTTGTCAGCAGTGGTTTCCTCCTCGACTCTCCCATGGAGGCCATGTTTGCCTGCTCTCATTCAGGTTGTTGAATCACGAGCTCTGAGACGACCGAGGTCTTCTTTTGATGTTGTTCTAGCTTCTTCTGTGACCTCCCGGATGAGTCGTCGGAGCACTCTTTGAGTAATTTTGTCGCTCCTGTGAAGGTTCGCACTGCTTTCTCCACGTGTGGATGACTGATGGCGCTCACCGTGGCGCCTCTGTGCTCGTGTCAGAGTCACAGATGTCAGTGATTGGATCCCAGTGTGCTGGTTTTTGACATCTTCTGGCTTACGTCACTTTGTCTGCACTTCTTAATTGAACAGCTGGGTTTGGGAAGCTTTTTTCCTGTAATTTAAAAACAGTCTTTTTAAGTTTACTTATCTTTGTCTAATATAAAACCGCGTTTGATCGGAAACGTGTGACAGAAATGGGTCCAGTCAGTGGTTTACTGAGCTGGACTGTTGAGATAAAGTAAAAGGATGTGAGGTGTGTCAGTGACATTGTTCCCTGTTTCAGACCCAGATGTCTTGGACACGTGGTTTTCCTCGGCGCTCTTTCCCTTCGCCATGCTTGGCTGGCCCGATCAGGTACTGGA